TGGATGGGTGGGGTCGATGTCCATAATCAACTCCGGTTGTTGCAACGTTACAGCGTGCAAATTTACTACAAAACACGCAAGTACTACAAAACTTTGTTTCTGGGGCTTCTGGACATGGCGCTCGTGAACGCGCTTATCGTTCATCGACACTATCGAAAGGTGAACAGCAGGCGCCCGCCAAAACTCTTCTCGTTCTTTGAGGAATTGATGGAGCAGCTACTGGCAGTAGATTCAATCGAAGCGTTTGACGAGATTGAGGTAAGTCAAATGTTGACCAGTCAACATAGCCTCATCTGCTTCAGCAGTCGTCCAACATAACAACTAACTTATGGTGGGCTTGACTGTACTGGTGCAGCAAGCGACATCTGCGCAAGATAGAACTGCCCCCTCGCCGGCAAGAGCAGATTCAACACAGCTACAAGGAAGCGCATCGTCAGCTATCGACGGACATTGTTTAAAAGAAAACCCAGATACTGTCGATTGCGAGCAGCGTGTAAAGCGACGCCACCGATCATGCAAAGTCTGCGACATCTACATGTCAAGTCTCGCAAGTTTACGAAATACTTCTGCCCGGAGTGCTCGAACGGGAACAAACGTGCGTAGCTCGCTAGTACCTTACCATAAGCTTTGCTACTCGTTTTGATTAGTAAATACCTATGCAACGTTCCGCGTGAAGGCAGGGTATGTACGTGCTTCAGCATTTGACATTCTGATTGGAACAACGGCAACGACATTCGCGCGACCTACTGCAAGAGCACAGGACACGTGAGCGACCGCCAGCGTCGCGGCCAGGCAAGAAGCGATAACGCAGGCAGCAGGCAGGCGAGAGCGGAGCAAGTGCTGGTGCTGGTGCTGGGGAGTCGAGCGAAGAAGATAATGAAGCAGTGGAGGAGGAGGCGTAGTGCTTGCGCCGTCTACGTGAGGTCGTGCATGTCTCTGCAAGGAGCAATCAATTGATACGGCACTTGATCTTTCTTGTTATTGGCTATAATAAATGAACTCACCGCTGCTGGACGTATGCAACAACACAAAGATAGGCTAATCAATAAACAGTACATATCCTATGTTTATTTATACAGCGTAGCTGCATATGATCGTCTCAATGTACTACATAAACCCTCCTTTATGTTGGAGAATCCGTACTTTACACACTGGCATGTCGTTTTTACCACCCCGAACCCGCGCCAAGATGTCCGGACTTAATTGAAATCCATACAAATTCCTTTATATCTGTATATGGGACGAGGTCAAAATGTACCATCATATTTTAGGCCGGGAACTAAGGGGTTAACCTTTTTAGATTAGCATCAAAAGTAAAATGACAATCTTATAAGCTTGAACTTACTAATATCGTGCCTGGTACCTAGATAAACTTCACTTAATCTTCCCTCTGACGAAGAGCTAGGTATTCTAAAGACCGGACTTTTAAGTTTGTATGCTGCTTACCATTGGGAACCAAGCTGGTACAATCTGAAGAAATACACCGAGGGGACTGTATCTCGTTCAAAATCGACTTCTGTACAAGAAGAATTCATCGTTGCATGAAATAAATATAATGCTTACCACTGCACATGCAATTGAGCTGGCGGAAACTATGACATTAAAATAATCAATGGAAGCTCTGTGTACATGCCAAGACTTAATGAAAAAATTTGGGCGTTGATTAATTAAGCGATTAAGCCGTACTAGTATTATGTACTTAAGTAAATAACTACACCAGATGCCTTGACATGTAAACCGGTCTCGCCATCGAAGATGTGACTACACTCTTCCATCGGCCGTGTCGGAGGAGCCCGGTCCCTAGACTCCGAGTCGCTTGGAACTACGTCGATCTGAACGAGGTTCAGATCCGACTTTCAACGGCGGCAGCGTCGTCGGCGACGGCGATAGTGACGTGGAACTTCGTTACTCACGTCTGGGGATGTCGTGGTGCCGACATCCGAGGCACTCGAGGCCTCGTGTGGTGCTATGTTACCCACACAGGAAGCGCATTCCGCGTCTTCCTCTTCAGTTATGGTCTGGACGGCCTTGTGTGGCACTGTGTTATCCACACAGGAGACGTATCCGACGTCTTCTTCTTCAGTTAAGGTCTGGGCGACCGAGTGTGGAACTCTGTTACCCACCTTGAATAAGCTATTACCAGCGCTCGTGACAGTTGCAGCTGTCTGCGGAGCTGTGCTACTCGCTTGTGGGCCTAAGCTACCCACTTGGTCAGCACCTCTTAGCGTCGCCCCCATCGAAGCTCGGAGTCGTCATATACGTCGACGACCCCCAAGCGTCTGCCGGATGCTTCGGTACCTTGACAGCCCTTGCGGGTATCCCGAGTCCTGACGGATGTGGGAGCACGACTGACCAATGCTATTTCGGACTTTGTAGGGCGGCTGGCACAAATTGTCTTCCTCGCCAGTCGATCCAGGGCTCGTGCTTCTCGAGTCAGGGCATGCCCAAGACCAAATCGTAGGGATCCATGTCGAGAACAGTAAACTGATCTGGACTGTCGAAGGCTTCAAGCTTGACGGTTAGATCCATTTAAATGTTCGAGACAGTGACGACCTTCCCATCGGCCAGTCGTACTGACACCGTCCCGTTGTCCTTGCTTTTTCTCACAGCATCGGACATATTGTTGCTAGAACGAGCAACCGTCTGGTGGCGTGCGAAGTTCTTCGACGCCCCAGAATCGATCAAGATTTTAAAGGGGTGATCGTATCCCCGTATACATCCGTGTACTACAAGCAGCCGCTGCTGCACTTCGCCGATTTGAGAGTGCGAAGACTCTGTGGCGCTAAGTTCCCGCGCACCTTTCACGAAGACTTAGCTCTTCCCCAGTAGGGCGATCCACCCCTACTGGTCTCCGGCGTTCCCCTGTCCCCGGGATCCTAACTTCTGCCAGCGACCCTTAAGGACGGGCTTGGGGAAAGTCTGCCTGCGGTGTCTCTCCGCGGGACAGTCACGCGTGAAGTGACTCATCTTCCCGCAGCCGAAGCAGCTAATGTCTCGCTGTTCGGTGGGCTCGCAACTGGTCCGGTGGGGTTGGCCCAGCCGGGATTCAGCACAGAATTCCCTGGCCACGCTGAGGCCGGCGTGCGCCCTGGCGATGGTTGACTTTCCTTGAAGAGACACTTGAATCGCCTCTTTGAGGGTGCTTGACTGCATTCAAAACATCTGAGTGCGCGCCGGTCCCACTCGAAGGTCATCCATGAGCACAGCTACCTTGATGTGATCGTTGAGTGGGTTGTCTGCTAGGGACGCCGTGAGCTCCCGCATTTTCGACGTACTCGTGCAGCTCGCGCCTTTCTTGCAAATAAGAGGAAGCGCGAATGCTGCCGGTACTCGTAGCTCGCCGGGAGGAACGCGGCTCGGAGCTGTTCGCACAGCTGAGCCCAGGATGTGAAACATCCAGGCGATGTCGCCTCCCTCTTGTACGCCCAACTCTTAGCATGACCGCTAAGGTTGGAGAGCGCAAAAGCAACGCGAAAATTGTTTTGTTGCTCGGTCGAGATCAGAGCTGCGTTCATCGCGAGCTCTACCTCTCGAGCCCAGAAGTGAAGGTTCTCACCTTCCTTCAGTTCATACGGCTTCATATTCAGCCGTATTGGCTTCGGGTGTGGCGACATGTTTCCGCCGCCGGAGCCTGCAGATTTCCCCGCACATGTGCGATGAGCCCTCGCGCGTAGGCGTCAAAAGCATCGACACGCTCGAGCTGCTCGGCCGGTGCTGACGCCCCCAGGCTCTGCAGGGCCTCCATCCCGAAGATGCCAGCCATCTTCCGAGCCGACTCGAATCGCTCATATGGGAACAGTCACTCCTATCCATTGCGACAAGCTCCAGAGAGGTTCAGGTAGTCTACCCGCGTCGGCGTGGATTGACAACGGGTGTTACCAAGTGTGACGGGGTCACACAGCACCTTGCACTAGAGAAAGTCGGCTTCCGATAGTATACAAACTTTCAGTGAAGAGTAGTTCACAGGTCACTTTTGTCGAAGGGGGCGAAGTGACCAATTTAAGGTAAGTTGTTCACTGAATGTATTTATAGGTAGGCTAAGCTTGAGTTGAATTTACAACTATAAGTCAAAGCTGTGTCATCAGCCAATGGCTGGCATCTGACGACCCTGGTACCATGTACCAGGTATTCCGAAGTGTTAATGTGTCAAACTTCATGTAACCAGGGGTACACTTGGGGCTTCGTACCCGGTTACAGCTCCGGGACGTGGGGACCGCTTGGGAGCTCCTACCTTAACTCACACTGTAGGGGGCACGCCATTGTAACCACAAGCCTAGGTGTCGTTCAGCGGCAGCCCTCGAACTGATGAAAGTGCGTAATACCACGAGGGGCTTGGTGGGAGCAAACTACAAAGCCATCAAGTTTATTCAGCTTTCAAGAAATCTTTAAATATCTATTGTGTGTCATTTATGTGACACACAATACAGTACTGCGCCCAGTTTTCGCGGGGGTGGACCATATAGGATTTGCAAATAAATCAGACTTTTAGATAACAAACATATGTTCACTTGGATTTAGGAGCAACACATCTGGAGGTTTATTAAAAGTACAAGGGCGCGAAAACGGGGTACCGTACTGTAGATATTTTGAAAGCTGTTATAACTATTAATATCATAATACAATTTGTTCATAAACGAATTAATTTTAAAGTTGAATCCTGCAATTTCCCAAAAGAACGAACTGACGAAAGTCGACACATGGAATGTCGACAAGCATTACTTCTACGTTGGATTGGGAAGTTCCGTTTTCTTTGGATGGGGGTCTATCCAGGCTGGTATTATTGCCAGCACCTGGCTTGATCGCGGCGTGTACGCTGAAAAGCTCTTAGCGCATCAATTTTAAAGTCGTGGACAAGTTCGATGAGAGCGGTCTCCCGGCTTTTAATCGCGGCAGTGGCCGTCACCGTGACGTCGGGTCGAAGTCTCGGCAGCACAAGCCAAACTGGCATTGAGGCATCTGAAAGCGGTAGTGGTTCCTTACCGGTAGTTGACGATGACAGCATGCCAGACGATGAAAGTGGGAGCAAAGTTGATCTGGATGACCTATTTAGTTCTAGTTCAAAAGCTCCAAGCTCCAGCAGCGACAACAATCTAGATGACCTATTACTTGGTTCATCGTCCAATAGCGATGAAAGTGCACAATCGGACTCGTCCTCAAGCGATGAAAATGCAGACAGTGAGGAAAGCGGTAGCGAGGAGAATAGCAGCTCGGCTGAAGCCTCCATGGCGACGGCTTCATTATCAGCGTCAGCTTCCGTTGATGGCAGTGGATCTGCGTCGTCCGGTAGTGGTAGTAGTAACAACGGCGAGGATAGCCTTCTCGACTCGACTTTCGGATCGCAGGGTGCAAGCGCTTCGTTGAGTGCCAGTGAGTCCTGGGACGATGTGTTTAAGAATGATTCCGAGACCGATTCCGCTAGTGAGGACGAGTCTGCGGCTAGCAGCTCATCCGGAACAGAGGCTTCGGATTCTGCTGCAACAAAGGCTCCTGATGCTGCAGCTACTGAAACACCAGTAACGACAGAAACCCCTGCGCCTGTCGTCTCCGAGGAAGACTCTGTCCAGCTAAGTGAAAGCGTTGGTGGTCCCCATGGAAACGAATTCACGGATAAAGCTGCAGTATCTGGAGGGCAAACCATTGCGTCGATTACGATTAGAGCTGGTAAGCGTGTAGATGGTATTTCACTTAAAGTCACAGCACCTACCGCGACGATATTCACTCACGGTGGAACCGGAGGAGACTTGAATACTCTCTCGCTTGGTGCTGGTGAGTACATCACGTCGATGGAGGCTCATTGGGGAAAGAGAAATGACCACACACGCATTTTCTATTTGAGCTTTGGTACGAGTGCGGGTCACACGATATCGGGAGGAACAAAGACTGCAGAAAGCAAGTCGGTGACAGCTCCGGAGGGCTTCCAGCTTGGAGGTTTCTTCGGTCGAGGTGGAGACGAAATAGACTCAATTGGTGCAATTTGGACCAGCATTACACCAGCAACGACTAATCCAACACCCCAGCCAGCTACACCATCGGTGTCATCAACGTCGGCTTCTGCGTCGGCATCGACCGCAGCATCGGATGCGTCGGAAAGCCGAGCCGGCCAGCGAGGACGCGTCTGCGGCCAGCGAAGACACATCTGCGGCCAGTGAGGAAACCGGAAGCTTGTCGGAATGGACGACTACACCGGTGAAGGGCAAGAAGACTCCGTCTACCGAGTCAGCGTCCGCCTCGACGTCGGCTTCTGCGTCGGCATCGACTGCAGCATCGGATGCGTCGGAAGCCGAGCCGGCCAGCGAGGACGCGTCTGCGGCCAGCGAAGACACATCTGCGGCCAGTGAGGAAACCGGAAGCTTGTCGGAATGGACGACTACACCGGTGAAGGGCAAGAAGACTCCGTCCACCGAGTCAGCGTCCGCCTCGACGTCGGCTTCTGCGTCGGCATCGACTGCAGCATCGGATGCGTCGGAAGCCGAGCCGGCCAGCGAGGACGCGTCTGCGGCCAGCGAAGACACATCTGCGGCCAGTGAGGAAACCGAAAGCTTGTCGGAATGGATGACTACACCGGTGAAGGGCAAGAAGACTCCGTCCACCGAGTCAGCGTCCGCCTCGACGTCGGCTTCTGCGTCGGCATCGACTGCAGCATCGGATGCGTCGGAAGCCGAGCCGGCCAGCGAGGACGCGTCTGCGGCCAGCGAAGACACATCTGCGGCCAGCGAAGACACATCTGCGGCCAGTGAGGAAACCGGAAGCTTGTCGGAATGGACGACTACACCGGTGAAGGGCAAGAAGACTCCGTCCACCGAGTCAGCGTCCGCCTCGACGTCAGCTTCTGCGTCGGCATCGACTGCAGCATCGGATGCGTCGGAAGCCGAGCCGGCCAGCGAGGACGCGTCTGCGGCCAGCGAAGACACATCTGCGGCCAGTGAGGAAACCGAAAGCTTGTCGGAATGGACGACTACACCGGTGAAGGGCAAGAAGACTCCGTCCACCGAGTCAGCGTCCGCCTCGACGTCGGCTTCTGCGTCGGCATCGACTGCAGCATCGGATGCGTCGGAAGCCGAGCCGGCCAGCGAGGACGCGTCTGCGGCCAGCGAAGACACATCTGCGGCCAGTGAGGAAACCGGAAGCTCGTCGGAATGGACGACTACACCGGTGAAGGGCAAGAAGACTCCGTCTACCGAGTCAGCGTCCGCCTCGACGTCGGCTTCTGCGTCGGCATCGACTGCAGCATCGGATGCGTCGGAAGCCGAGCCGGCCAGCGAGGACGCGTCTGCGGCCAGCGAAGACACATCTGCGGCCAGTGAGGAAACCGGAAGCTCGTCGGAATGGACGACTACACCGGTGAAGGGCAAGAAGACTCCGTCCACCGAGTCAGCGTCCGCCTCGACGTCGGCATCATCATCGTTGGATGCCTCATTGTTTGCTTCTGATTCTACTGATAGCCATGTTGACGACTCAAGCTACCCATTGGAAGGTAGTCAAAACTCTGATTCTCCGATTCAAATGGCGGATGAACCCATTTCGACGAAAGCTCAACGTATACGAGGCTCAACCAAGTTTGCGAAGCCGTCACAATCTCTCCGTGGGAGTACATTCAGCTCGTCTGACTCGGATAATACCCCTTTCCAGCAATCCTAAACCATGAAGATGAACTGAAGGAGTGGGTGTCGACGTAAGACTCCCACGATGCGTTCTCTGATGAAAAAGGCGTAACCAATACACTGCGTATACCTACTTGTTTCACCGAAATATCTTCCGACCATAAAGCACATGAACTTAGCGCGTCAATGTCTTACCAACGGGTGATAGCATTTCGCCTCACTCTCCTAATTCACTCGATCTCCATTAAAGAGTTTCTCAGCTTCCTTTGTGACCTGTACTACACAATAGTCAACGGGGCCTGTTTTGCCACAGCTTCTCGCATGCGAGATGGAATAGGCTCCACCCCGCCAATATTCCGCACCCAATAGTCCGCCTTTGATGTCGGCATTTGTAATCCACCCCAATACTTTGCCTTTGATAGCAGCATTTGTATCGGTATCATCACCCTTGAGTAAAGTCTGCTGAAAAGCGCGCTCATAGATCTCGTTCCGACGCAAGAAAGTACGTGGCGAGCACAAAAGCCCAGCGGACATGACCAACTTTACTCGTACACACGAGGCCCGAGATATCCAATGACTCCTCCAGAAACCACGTGCGCACCACTGAGGTCACATTATTGATTACAAAGCGTTCACCACGACTTACAGCTCTACGAAAATCCCCTGGAACACGCAACAAGTGCTCCACCATACGACAACAAACGGCATTGCAGTCTTGACACACGTGTGTGGCGTTCTGGCGAGAGCAGCGGTGGTCTCCCACGACTGCCCTACTCCAGATCGCCAGAGGCGGTAGCACAGCAGTTTGTATCACAACAGGCTGTCAAATTTAAATAGTTCACGCACGTATTAATACCGGAAGTTTCTATTTGTGTTAAAACTAAAACCAGTTTATTACTTTTTTTAATTTTTGACCATTTTAAAGTTTTTTAAATCATTTTTATTATTAAACTTAGCTTCTTAAAAATGTACTAAAAAAAAAAATATGTTTGCTCTTGATACACAAGATGGCGTACGACAACTGAGCCGCACAATCATTATACTTTTAGTATGAGCAGGTTCATTTGCTTGTAACAATACCTACATGTATAATAGCTCGATCTTGACACTCATGGGCTCTTACTTCTCGAAGTACATGTTTTATAACTTTGTATTGCGATGGCTTTGCAAGTCAATAATCATTATTGAAAACCATCGCATTTTTTAAAAAGATAAAAAAAATTCCATACCGGTATTTGATTTCGCTGCTTGTACGTGTCGCGAAAAAAAAAATCCGCGAGAGGAACTTGGATGGTGTAGGCCCTACACCATCCAAGTTCCTCTCGCAAAACCCTAAGCCCTATACTGTAGGGTACAAATACGGTGAAGGCAATTTTTCTCCAGATGGGAAATGGAAGATACTATTATATTCGTCAATGAACGTTGGACCAGATTATTTTGACATGCCATTTGAAAAGGCGAAACTTCTCGAGCTGGCACCAAAATAGAACAAGGAGCCTGCGTAAATGTTCCTTAGCATCTCGTGCATCTAGTGAGCTATTTGCGTCCTTACTAACATGTCTGAGCCAAGCACCTCGCAGCAAGAGCTGGCACCAGGCCAGAAGGATTACGTAGTACGGTGCTTAGACTTCATGTTCAAAACTAAGGAAGATGGCCTCTTCAGAGGGCAGCGAACCCGGGACCTGGTTGCTGAGTGTCTACAGATAGCACACGGCACTGTTACGACTGTGACGAGCACCTACAGAGCCTACAATGAGACCAAATTTGAGGTGCACATCAGCCATTTAGCGGTGCATGTTTGTTATCAGCTATTAACGCTAACCTCTATTATTTGATATGTGAAACAACGCGGAAGGAAGCGTGATTACGACCCAGCAGAGCGAAGGATAAGGTGCCTGTTTAAATAAATATTTGTTTTTTCCTTGCACTCAAATCGTTACAATCGTAATCGGATTTGCTGCTGTTCAGTTGCGTACTTTCTTGTACTTTCTTGCGCAAATCCATGTGGTTTTGGGAATTGCCCAATCAAATGACCGCCTCAAAGGCAACCCGTTTCCCGTAAATCTGGGGCATCTGGAAAGAGTTTAAAAATAGTCTTGTAGCGCAAAAACGACTGCGAATCAGCAAATTCTGACCACATTTTTGAAATCTACGCCCGATTTTACCCCTTATATCTAGCTGTTGCTATAGGATTTGGGCTGCTGAATCTTCATAACAGATGGCTACATTTTTGTCACAATAACGTTGCAGTCGTGGCAGCGGAAGCCCCTACAAATAACAAATATGCCAGTCATTTTACAATTTGCTGAGCGCAAGTGCCACCTTTCAACAGGTCCAAGCATATTCCCCAAATGAAACTTGCCGTCGGCCTCGTGCTCGCAGCCGTCGCTGCTGTCGCCGTGAGCGCTGGCGACCCGGCGACACTGTCGACAAAGGAGGAAGCCACGAAAACCACGAAAACGACCAAGTCGGAGAAAACTGGTACTGCTCCTAGCAGCGGCATCGGCAGCTTGTTCGCGGATGGCTCCAACGGTGTTATTGGGGATGAGAGTGCAGCTGGTGTGAAAACAGACCCTAAGCTGCTCAAATCGATTGGTATCATGGGCAAGGATGGCTCCGGGGGATTAAACTTAGGTCCTGGCCCTGCGGTGTACCCTAGCGACTCAGGCTCGTGGGACTGGAGCTGGGACTCGATCGAAGGCTCCGGCAGCTCCCATTACGACTGTGATACGGAGTGCCCGGACGACTTCAACCCTGTTTGCGGTTCCGACCATGTCACTTACACGAACGACTGCGCGTTTACAGTTGCTCAGTGTAACGCGACCGAACTAGTCGTGGCAAACTCTGGTGAGTGCGCAAAAAGCTCTTCTGGCAGCAACGCTGAGTCCTGCCCTGATGCCTGTACCATGGAATACTCGCCCGTGACCGATGAGAATGGTAAAAAGTACTCCAACGAGTGCGCTATGCGGCTAGCCAAATGCAAGGGTGAGGCTGGCGAAGAGAAGAAAATTGTCACTTTTGCAGCTCTTGACGAAACTACTGATGAGAAGGGAGCCAAGGAGACCCCTGCCCCGGCCTCCAAGACCACGAAGGCTACCAAGTCTGAGAAGACTGGCACCGCTTCCGGCAGCGGTATTGGTGCGCTATTCGAGGATGGATCGAATGGTGTTATCGGCAGCGAAGACAAGTCAGGTTCAGCGGATCCCACCCTGGTAAAGGGTACTAAGGAGACCCCTGCTCCGGCCTCCAAGATCACAAAGGCTACCAAGGCCGAAAAGACTGGCACCGCTTCCGGCAGCGGTATTGGTGCGCTATTCGAGGATGGATCGAACGGTGTTATCGGCAGCGAAGACAAGTCGGGTTCGGCGGATCCCACCCTGGTAAAGGGTACCAAGGAGACCCCTGCTCCGGCCTCCAAGACTACGAAGGCTACCAAGTCTGAAAAGACTGGCACCGCTTCCGGCAGCGGTATTGGTGCGCTATTCGAGGATGGATCGAACGGTGTTATCGGCAGTGAGTCTGCCTCTGCTGATCCTACTTCTGTGAAGGGCGTGAAGCCCGTTGCTGAGAAGACTGTTCCTCAAAGACTACGAAGATTATGTCGTAAATTCTGATGTAGACAGGCAAGCACTGCAGGCGTTCGAAGCGAACCGTGTCCTGCACGTATTGGTATCTAATCGTATTTGTTTGGTTTGAGACTGTCTTTACGACGATCTCTGATAATTATCTTTCCTGCCTTACTGTTTGCTGCGAGACAGCGAGGGGGTCATGATATTTTATACTTCTGTCCGAAAATATAAGCGGGGCATCTATTTAAACCGTGTCCGAAAATAAAAGCGGCATGCTTACAAATTCAAGTCATTTGATAGTACTGTCGTATTCCACTTAAGTACTCCCATACAAATGCTGTTGTTGTTGCCGGCCACTGCAAACCAGACCGTAGAAATATTTAGGCACTCTACACGGCACCGCTCAACAGAGAATCTCACGCGCTACATCTCTACAGGTTTCTATGACATTTCGTGTAAAATTGACATCCTGGCGAAAGATTTTCAAATTTCACATCTTCACCACGAACTTTGCATAGCGATAGAAGTACGTAGTACCTTCACATGGGTCTTGGTCGGCTGGATCGTTACCGGTACTTCGCGCATTTCGTCAGAATGTAAATACCGGTAGATCGCCTGTGGACATCACATGCCAGTTTTCTACTGATACGAATACCGGTAAATTGACTTTCAAGCACTTTCAGATAAATAGTACTAATAGATAATTAAAAGCATATATTGTGGCTTGCAGGTTTTTTGGCAAAACGGATGGTAAGATATCCGATATATCGGGTCCGATATATTTTGCAGCTCCGAAGTGGAAGAGCATGTCTCCTGTCTTGCTACGATTTACACAGATCGTTCTAGCCCGAATAATCAAATAAAGTCCGTTTTGCTGGTTTAAATCGGCAAAAATGAGTGGTCGTTGCTTTGCTTTGAGTTTGCTGCATTTTTTTCGCCTATTAATTCACTGTCGTATGACTTACTCCGACGACTTTCGGTGGCGTGCAGTCGCTCTCCTTCACGTCTACAATATCCCTGTCACGCATGTGTCAGAGCTGCTAGGTCCAAAGCTACGGTCTATTCGACGCTGGTACGCTCTTTTCTTAAGTGATGGCATTGTCAATGACAAGCCTGAACAAAAGGAGAAGAGGACCAAATGGCCACCAGAGGTACTTCAGTTTGTGCAAGCGTATGTGGATGACCACCCAACGTTTTACATTGAGGAGCTACGAGACAGCATCTCCATACAATTTCCTCTTCTTAGAACGATTTCAACCTCTACTATTTGTCGTGCTCTCAGCTTTGATTTAAATCTCAGCCGCAAGGTGTTGTCGAAGGCGGCACGCGAAGCAGTTCCAGCCGAAAGTCGTATCTACAAGGAAAAGCCGCTACCACTTTACTCGTACGCCAAGCAATTAATTTTTCTTGATGAAACTTCCAAGGATGGACGCCACGCTTATCGACGCTACGCGTGGTCCCGACGAAACACGAAAGCTATCGTGAGGTTGCCATTTCGACGGGGAAAGAGACTCTCGATTTTGGCTGCACTCGACGTCTCCGGGTTTATTGCATGGGAATGGACAGAAGGAACGTTTACAAGAGGAAAATTTCACGAGGCTTTTTTAAAGCATGTCATCCCGCTGCTAAACCCGTGGCCACTTCCAAGATCAATTGTCGTAATGGATAATGCGAAAATCCACGTTTATCCTGAGCTTCAAGCTGCGGTTCATGCGTGCGGTGCTCGCCCGATCTTTCTTCCACCATACTGTCCGCAGCTAAACCCAATCGAGCAAGGTTTCGGCCTTTTAAAACGATGGATTCAACGCCACGCGAATCTTGTATTTCCTCTCTACCCAGAATTGGTATTGGATGGAGCCATGAACAAATGCACCCAGCGGGAACGAGAATTTTTTTTTGGGTCTTTCCAGCACTGTGGCTACAACAGTTTCTCGCTGCGAGACAAAGTATTTGAGGGTTTAATCGATAGCTGCAAGAAACACGAGTAAAGTGTAATACATTCAGGCGAGCAAGTGATCTAAATCAATCCTAAATCAGAGAGTTCCATGGCTTCTCCTTCATTGTCTTCTTCTTCATGCTCCTCTTCTTCTTTGTGCTCAAAGTCTTCTAGGTTTGGTTGTGATGGAGCTGTTGGCGTGAACTCGTGATAGATTCCAGACGTAAAAATGTCGTGGTCTGGTAAGCCAATAGCTTTCCTCAGTGAAACCACATCAACTTCTACAGGAATCCACACTCCACTCCATTTCAGTTTGATGATGGTTGTTTGAGCTAGCGCTTGTTCTTCAACCTGTATGCGCTGGGTTCTTAATGCTTCCCGCTGTCTATCTAATTCCATCGCTTGAGCAGTAGTATTGTCGTCCGGAACGTGAAAGACAGCGCTGTCTGGACGACGCGCATTGACGATGTCAAGATGATGTCCGGTAATAGCACCAAACGTAACTGCGTTGGTAGCTTCGTGAGCTAAACGCTGCAAGCGTGCTCGCTGTATGCGCTTCTCGGTAGCTCGCTGAAAGTCAGCCGATGCAGCAATCGGTGTAGCGTTTTTTACATACAGGAACGCCAAGAATCTGAATCCACTTCCTGGGGATCTGTCACTCGACTTTAAAAGCTGCCACCGCCGGTTCAAAGACTCCACGAAATTTGAAGTCGACAATCGCATGTATTTGTCTTGATTTTCGTTGCTCGATCGCTTCAGGTAAATGTCACTGTTCTCCCGCAATTGTAGTTGCTTCTTGCGCTTCAGTACGTCACCACTTGCTGCTAAAGCATTAAACTTCATAATGCACTTTGCGCGAAACACATCGTAACCTTCGGCTATGTCAAACATCACATCTTGCTTCCAACCGCCTCGAGCACTACCGTGTGCTTCGCCAATTCGGACAGTTAAACAGGCAGTTAAAACGCTTGGTAAATTACCTTCGGGTTCACTGGTAGAAATCGCAGCTTGATTCTCTCTTGCATCCATGACAAAACGCACACACTAGCAATTGCAGACAACTCGACTTGTGGTGACAATTGTGTTTTGGAAATGCCACTTCCAGTATATTAAAAACTAATCTGCACAAGTGCACCGTACATTTAATTAGTATATACTCAAGTAAAGCGGCATAGAGGACATTTGATGGAACTTACATGCTATCTCGCCGCGTGGTTGATGCATCTCGTTGTCTGTTAGCAACCACGATACCGCACCACACACGCTCTACCGAACAAGAACGTCACGTGTCTTCGCCACCTATGCCGCCACATGAACAACGCAAAGACATTAGCCAGTCATTTGTAATTTGCTGCATATAAGACGCTAGTACCTGTTTGTCTGCCTCTCCCTCCAGTCTATTGCCCTTGTTTGTCAGTCTAGCCTTCTTATACTACAAAAGAACACAAACACGAGAGGATATTAGCAGCTAGACAGATCATACAGGGGAGGTAGTGAGGCTTTACCTGCCGGAGCCTCGTGTCTTGCTGGTGAGGGCTGCGGACGGTTGGCTGTGACTTTGGGGGGAGGTCGGATTAACGAAGTTTCAGCAGTGGCAGAACGGTCGCTTTCTCTCAGAAATAAATAAACCTATCCCTCGCACAGACCGATTTATTTTGTCGCACCTCTACGATATCCGACGTCAAAACGATGGGCAAAAATACTGCAAGCCACAATAGTATTGTGCATTCCAATGATCTTGTCCTTTTCACTTAGCCTGATGCTCGATTTTAAAAAAAATGAGGTCGTTTTATTTAATCGAGGTCTATAAAAATGTACAAATCGATCAAGCTAGACTGGCTGCTACGGCAGTCAAATCGACCGCTCGGGATCGATCGACCACCAAATCCACATCGATATCCTGTAAATCGACCCTTTTTGCCGTTTTGAAATGGTAATTCGATCACAGATAAAATAAATCGATGCCTGCCTCTTCCCATCTCGTTTTTGGTTTTGCTCCGACCATGCTCGATCTAGGCTATAAAACGGATGGACATTCCATCTGCAAAGCACAATACAATCAAATATTTTAAACGCGTCAATTATGTCCAAATCTTCCTGAACGGTGTGGTTTGACTCCATTTTGAGATCCGACAAATGAACTATCCTTGGACCCCAATTGATTAATTAGCTAGGCAGCAACTTGAAGTGACTGAAGCTCGAACTCCGCATTGCTAGCATTGGAGGAGGCCGTAACGCGGCACCAAGCGCACGCCAACACAGTTTACAACTGCTTGTACGCCCGCATCAAGCTCGGGTACTTGCCGCAGCATCTCGCGCATGTTTTCGATAAGTCGGAGCACACCATCTGCTTCTGGCTGAAGACATACAGCAAAATCGGGTATTTCAGACTACCAAACGACCAGGGAGAGGAAATGCACAAACGACCGGTGAATGTGGCTTTTCAACTTCTACCAGCAACATCCTCTTGCCTATCTAGACGAAGCAATAGCCGCCTTCCAGCGAGCGCACTGCGTCGTCATCTCCAAATGCTCAGTCTGGAGAATCATCCATGCGCTCGGCTTGCCGTGGAAGATGCTAGGGCGTCGGGCGATTTACATCGAGGAATGGGACATATTCCGCTTTGTGGAGGAGTTTAGTCATGTGGACTGCAGCCACCTGAGCTTGGTGTTTCTATATGAAGTGTCTTTCGACAACAGATGGATGGTGGGAAAGCGAGAGTACGTCGTCCAGGGCAAAATATCTGTAGCTCGCGGTGATTTTGAGCGGAAGTCACGCGTATCAATTCTTGCCTTTCTCGGTGTCAACGGTGTTTTCAACTTTTTTAACACTGAAGAAACCTTTGATCAACTGGAGATCACGAGGCGCTGCCAGGATTTAGTCCACGCTACAGGATCTAGAGTGCGCCAGTATCCAGGACCTGATTAGGTGTGTATCATGGACGAAGCTATGATCCACAGACACCCCGAGATAATTAACTGCCTTCGAAGTGTGGGTATCGTGCCGATCTTCTTGTCCGCATATTGTCCATTCTACAATCCTATCGATGTCCCTCTTTTCAACGTCATTACAACGGACGAAGCAGACGGAACTTAATGCCATTTGTTGTCCAGACATTTAGTCGCTTCAAAGATTTCAAATTGGGCATGGGGTTTGAACATTGTGACTGGAAAGTTCAAAGTTTCTTCGATGCTGTTGGGCCGCTCTGAAGTGAACATCGAGTTTTAGACGATGAAGAAACAAATCAAGACGATTTAGGTTATACTCAAGTACAGTCCTAAAACCAGCAATGAAGCTGTTTTCTTCTGCACCGCATATTCTGTGTCTTCAACATTCTTGATCCGAAGTAGCGGACCAATCATGGTGCTTCGGGTTGGCGGAGAAATATCGCGCAGGAATGCCTCGATAATATTTTCTGCGTATCTCTAGACGGTGTAGATTTTTGTAAACGCTGTCCAAATACCTCCCCGTCTCGTTGCAATTTCTTGTAGTCAGCGGTTGATTCCGACACAACATCAAGAGCCATGTTTGCAGACTGCGTTACGCCAATTAAGTGCTGCTCTAGACGAGAGTTATTGAGACGCAACAAGATTGTTATCTATTCTAGAGGTGGCTGCATGATCGCAGCATCCCACGCTGAGCGGTTGAGGTTCTGCATTTAAACGGTTTGCCCACATACGCTATTATATCACCTCCTTGAAACGTAGTGCCTCAATGGTATTGCCGTCTCTCCCCAACGTCCCTTAACGAGACTTCGGCAGTAGTTCATGCACGGTCGGTCTGCTCTGGTCGAATGCAAACCTCAATAAATTCATCTCGCTCTTGAGCTCTTGTAATTGCCATTCCATACTCGTAGATTATAAGAGTCACTGTCTAGCCAAGCATTTTTGGTAAGCCATTGATTTTAAGATTGATCCGGTTTTTCCGGATCAACGGCGTGCTCTTTGAATTTGAACTGCACTGCTCGGAATCATTCTGCATCACTATGTGTCTCCACCGACAAAAAAAACATAATGTTTCATGTTTTGCTGCTCGACATTTTAAGCAGCTGCTAAAACTGACTCCATATCTTCTCCATGATGTCTGTGCTTGCCAGCTACTCCAGCTACGGGGGAGGGGGGGGGGTCTTGGCCGGGCTACCAACGCGGAATCTGGCATTATTTGTAGGCTTGTCGCTAGCGTGGCTACACTTGCTGCCACGGTGTAGTGGAGGTCACAGTTGTGGAGCGAAGAGCAGCATCTTGAGCCGTTGTGTGTATCGGATATACAGACTGCTGAGTTTCACCTCGTGCAGACTCTCGTGCTATCTCAGGTGTTCCAGGTCCTCGGTAGGCTTGTTGAGTCGCTGTGGCTGAGTTAGTAGTGATACAGCCGGCTGCACTGACGAGGCGACTTGCGGGGCCTGGGGTGAGCCACTAGGTGTCGGTGTTCGGCTGCGTAACGGGTAGGGAGAGACGCAGAGAGTGCTGTGCTGTCGTGGCGATCTTCTCAGTGACGCCGGCATGGTACAAATCTGGAACGGAAGGGAAACACTGCAAGTAAACGTTAAAAATGCATGAATCCATTCCTCATAATGGGTTAGTCTATTGGTATGACGGTTTTATATGATCTTTCCGATCAACCACGCTTGGGAATTCTGAACCAAACGCACAATAATACGAGCCTTTATTTGTCTTTACAAAAACAACTGCTTAAGCACATGTACTAGAGCTCCGCGAAGGCTGGGATAGCACAACGAAATTAGGAAGAGAGTGACAAACATGTGACTATGAAATATGTCGACGAAACCCTCTGGTAATTCTGCGACACAGTATCTCCTACTTCAAAGCAAACATATTATGTATATGAGCTATGCAGATCAACGTCCAGTGTTGATAGCCACACGCTAGCATCTGCAGATGCTTCGATCTCTGGCCAGAGTCTGGTGCGAGCAAGTTCCATAAATCAGTAATAAGTACTGAGATTTGAAATTTAGATTTGTATATCTTAAAACTGACAGAAAACTCAGTAGATTTATGGCAGTAATTCAAATCATCCAAAATTTATTTGACGAGATTTTGTTTTGGCAATACGACTACTACATGTAAGAGTGGTAAAAAAAATCAAGAGCTAAATATGACCATTGAGAGAAACTGCGAAGTCCGCACGAATTCATCCCACCTTAAAGCCAGTCGATTTTCCGCCTCGAAGCCCCATCGAGTACTTCCCTCATCTTTAATCCAGGATACATTTGCATGTTAGCCATATAGTTGAGTTCGAACGACAACTGAGTACAACTATTTTAAAAAAATCTAGGTCTATCAATGCAATTTGAGTCTCTATAAAACGCCGAAGTGGGCGTAACATTCAGCACGTAAAGACACTTTGCGCACGGTCCTGCTTAGCACGTGTTAGTCAGCTACGAGCACCTAATATTTCTTTTAGAAAAGCAACAATTCAAAAAGTCCAATATACAGCTACTGAAGTAGCAAGGTGTTATCTAGTTACAACTAATATTGGTGTCCTCATCAAAGCTAGCGTATAACATTTTAGCGACCAATCTAGATGCTAGCCACTGCCGCATTGCTCAAAAGGTTCCCATTCGGACTCTTACAAGGCCTCATCATCCGTGCCTTCATTACCGGAAACATCGATTTTGAAGTCCAACATTCCGACTTTGTCCAATTCTCTCTAGATTGATTTACGTTGCTGTAGAACCTGTTAGCTTGTTTTCATTGAGCTTTTTGTTTAGCAATAGCCTTACGACCGTAACCTCTAAGACGCTTCATGTAATTCTTCAACTTGGTCGTTGAGTGGTTTGCACGACGGGCTCGACGAATTGTTGAATTCCGGAGCCATTTGAACACACAAAAAATCAAAGAAAAATGCAAAAAAGAGCGTTGAGTGGGTGCAAAATGAAGGTGGCTAGGAGATCTCTCAAATAAAAGGCTGGATTTCTCGAAATTTCTATTTTACTTGGTAGAAATAGTACCAATGCTTATGAGCAAAATGCTGATCAGTACTTTACAATACCAAATCTAAATTCCAAATCTCAGTACCTATTATTGATCTTTGGAAATTGCTCGTCTGGGACTGCAACTTCCTGGCAGGAAGCTTCTGCATAAACACTTCTTCACGATGTGGCCCCGGATTCCGGGCCGAAAGCTGCCATATTGTGCTTGAAGCTTCAAGAAGTTCAGAGGATTATTGCAGCGGGGCTGTCGTAGCTTTAGCGTCAGAGGAAGACCATCGACTCAAAGAGTCACTAATACTAAGTTCATTATCCAAAGGAGCTTACAGCCCACGACCAGGGCTCAAAATTAATACCTTAACGTTTATGCTTCAAAACCAGAAGTGTCTTGTTTACTTTTATTGCGACCAAGCCGCCTTGCGGTAAATGTATCTGCTTAACTATCTAGCATAGTTAAACCTAATCAAATGCATGACGGGTGGCTTTCAGCCAACGTACTGAGATACCTTGTTAGCTCTCCAGCTTATGTACTGAGAGTGTGTTAACTCTCCGGGTACTTCGTACTCTGTTCCACACCATGTAACCCCGCTACACTCTCCCCCACTAAGATGAAAACATTCCGTTTTCGACACTTCCTCAGCGAGGACACGTCTTGTCAAGACGGCGGAGGTTACTACACCTCACACCAGCGTTGTATAGCTTTGCGAGCTCACAAACGCATACGCATCGTTGATGCCCAACTTCTGGTCGTCGGCCCACGGCCCAATGTTTCAAGCGCACCGCGCATCTTGTTCTCAAGCGGTCTCAGACCTACGCTCGCGCTCCGCGCCTACTCCAAGAGCTGCAAATCGCTAAGAGCTATGCTCTTGACTATTCCGAGTCGTCGACAACAGCTCAGCGGTTGAACACTCGCTTCACAAGCGATCGGGCGGTGGTTCGATCCCACCAGGGCGTCCCCTTTCGTTCCATTAACGAATGTCCACGCTTGGACAAGCTTAAGGGCAGCACCCATTTAGCTCAATGGTTGAGCGCTGACTTTAAGAGCCACAGGTCGGTGGTTCGAACCCAGCTCTCTCGTTCCATGAGCTGTTGTTCTAAAATGGACAAGCTTAAGGGCAACACCCTTTTTAGCTCAGTGGTCGAGCGTTGGCTTCGATAGCCACAGGTCGGTGGTTCGATTCCACCCGGGCGCAGCCTTCTCATATCACGAGTAGTCCGTTCTCGGACAAACGTACGGACATCGCCCTTATAGCTCAAAGGTAGAGCTTCGGTCTGGAAAGCCTAGGCCAGTGGCTCGATCCCCGTCCCGGACACACCACTTTCGCTGTTACAGCGCATCCACTTCTGGATCATGCTCATCGAGCAAGTTGTTTCAAAACAACTATGCGTCTATCGGGACGCTTGGGCCTGAACCCTGTTCAGCACAACACGAAGCACCTGCTTCCTTTGAGACCACGTCCTCAACACCACGAGGTCTCTCCACCTCCTGCTTCCGCTGCGAGCACCGCCCATACGTACGAGCTGGCTGCTGCAGCCACTGGTCAGAGCCTAAGCTCAACTACTGACCTGTTCGCTCCCCACTCGAGTGGGGGGCGCCCAGCGCCTGGCGACGCTGTCGCACACCATGGTGGCACTTCGGCACAGGCTGTGCCCGGTCGTAAGCGTCCACGACGTCAGGGCAATCTTTCCGGAGGATAACCTCAAACTCCCATGAGCTCTGTGAGTGAGGGTACCCCCTCCACTTCGAAAAGTACTGGGTACGACCCTGGCGTCTACGCGTGCCACAAGGCGTTCCACGTGATAGTGGAGCTCACCATGCTCATTGAGCAGAGCTGGAGGAGGCCTTGCCTCAGCTGGGTTCTCGCGGGGAGAGTTAGCACTTGTCGGATCGGCGTCAGCGTCCATTCGACGCCGGCGTCCACGACGCGAACGTTCACGTTCACCGTCCATCGGTCGATCTCGAAGAGATGATCCACCTTGTGGATAGGTAACAGTCACCACAGCTGACTCACAACCAGATCTCGGACCTTGAGCGTCCAGTCGCTTGGTTGAACGTTCAGCTTGCCTTGCTCCTGCATCTCGAGCATTTCGCTCCGCGAGCTGTGGCTCTGTCACATGCTTTTGATCAGCCTGCTGTGGGTCCACCCCTTTCTGTCGCTCAGCCCCCCGTGGCTCTACCACCTGCTGCCCTGCAGCTGTCCGTGGCCCAGCCACCGTTGGCGCCAACGTTTCCGCGCTCACCTTAGCAGGGTCGTGATATGGTTTAAGCAAGCCAACATAGAAGACCAGATGCGTGTGCATCTTCTTCGGAAGGTTGAGCGTATATGCGAGGCCCTTCCTGGCCATGACTTTAAACTGTCCTATGAACCTAGGTCTCAACTTCGTCTTGAAGATTGCAGACACTGCATGACTTGGTAGGTTTTTCGAGCTTAATAAAACTTGGTTACCGACCTCAAACCTCTCAACATTTCTTCTGCCCTTGGCATCTGCATGCTCCTTCTGCGTGTCTTGGCTTTCAGCTATAGCGTCGTGTACTTGACGCATTACGCTTAGTCTCAAAGAGACAAAGTCATCGACGAGCCGCAATAGGGCTGACATCAGCTAGCCGCTCGGCTATCCCTCCTCCATCAAGCCCTGAGCCACTGCATGGCGGTGTCAGTGGGACGCGAGGGTTCACCAAGCCGTTTACATATAGCCTGTCGAGGCGTGCACTGCATTATTTAATGCGAACCCAACGAGTGGAAGCATCTGGCTCTAGCGTTGTGGCGCCTCAGCGCATACGCTTCGAAGGATATCCTCCACAACGCGATTCACGCGTTCGGTTTCACCGTCGGCCTGCGGATGGTCCGCTGTGGACATGTCCAAACGAGTGCCGAGCACTCCGAAGAGGGACGTCCAGAACTTCGCGATAAAGGGCGGGTCTCGATCCGAGACAATTGCCTCAGGCAAGCCATGTTGGCGAAAGACTCGGTCTAAAAACAGCAAAGCTGTACCTTCACCATCAATGGTGTCCGGCACCGCCGCTAAATGAACCATCTTGCTCAATCGGTCTATAAAGGCCACAATACCCGTGTTTCCCGCCTTATCCTTGAGAAGACCAAACACAAAGTTCACACTCATGGACTGCCAACATCCCTTAGGGACAGGAAAACTCACCAACGATGCTGCCATGCTCGGCGCGGACTTTGTCCGTTGACACGTCTCACACGTGCGTACATAGGTGCCGACCCACTTATACATCTTGGGCCATCAGTACATCGAGCTCACCGAGCCATAGGTCTTCTCCCGACTAAGTGCCCGCCCACGGGCGTTTCATGAACCTCATAGAGGATGCGATACTTTAGATCCTCATCATGAGAAACGACTACACGGGGTTATCCTCAGCGTCGGTGCTGTAGTACAGCAGGCCGCCATCGAGCGAGTATCGATGCAGCCTCGGGCGTAAGCGCCCAGACAATTCCTTGTCAGAGTCTTTAAACTCTTCGCTTTCACGAGCCCGTAGCAGCGCTAACGCATATTTCGTCTTGTGCATACGCTCAGCGTATCAAGTCAGGCACTAACGACGTCACTGTCGTGACATGAGCTAACTCGTAGTCCGGCCTGCGCGAGAGCGCATCGACCACTACATTAAGCGGCCCCGGCTTGTACTTCACCTTGAAGTTGTACTCGGCAAAGAAGGAAATCCATCTTGCCATTATCTGAGAGAGATGGGGCGACTGTGTCGCAGTTCGTAGCGACGCATGATCAGTAAAGATCACAAAAGACTTAAGAGTCTAGCAGGTGTACCCTGAATTTGACTAGAGCATACTTCATGGCAAGTAGCTCTTTGTCATGAACTGAATAGTTCTTTTCTGCATCTTTGAGCTAGGGAGACTCAAACGCACGCGTTCACGCCCATCAGCAGTAGAGCACAACCGATTGAAAAATCAAAGGCGTCCCAGACGACACTAAACGGACGATCCGGGCCCGGTAGCGCTAGGATCGAAGCCGGGAGGAGGCTCTCTTTCACATCCTCAAAGACTCCGTCGTGCTCGACGTTCCAGCACCATGGCATATCCTTCTTAAGAAGATCTGACAATGACCGAGCCATATCCGCGTAGCTCGCGCTGTACTTGTGCAAGTAGTTGACTAAGCCTAGCCACTTGCGTTGGTCTTTTTGGTTCTTGGGAGCTGGTCAGTCCACGATGACCTTGACTTTGGCAGGATATGCCCGTAAGCCACGCTTCCTAAGGAAGCACCCGAGGAAAGGTATCTCCTCCGCGCCAAAGACGCACTTGTCCAAGTTAGCATACCGCTTATCAGTGCACATGCACTCGAGCACCGCTCGGAAATGGTCAATGTGGTTCTCCACGTCTGACCTTTCGTGCTCAGCACGACTATGGACGAATATATCGTCAAAGTACGTCTGCTCGGTGGGGTCTAAGCAACTGCGTCACAAGACGATTGAACGTTGCTGGTGCGTTCGACAGCCCCTGGGGCACGACCAGCCACTCCCAGAGCATACCACTCGGAGTACTCACCGCTGTCAGCGGAATGTCACTCGCTCTCATGAGAAATTGGAAGTAACCATCGACCGAGTCGAGTGCGTTGTACAATGTACAGCCTACCGTGTTGCTCTGCAGAACATCCTTGCGAGGAATCGGCGTTTGCACCGGGATAGTGGCCGCATTTAGCTTGTTGACAGCATGAACAATGCGCCACTTGCCGTTCGGCTTTCTAAAAGTGTCGAGTGCGGAGACTTATCCTCATGCACCATCCCTGCCTCGTGTTTCGCACGGAAGAATGCGTCAATGACGTCACACCGCTCTCTTGGCAAAGGATATTGCCTTGTTACGCAGTATTTGGTTCCAGGAACCAGGTCAATCTCATGACACACGCCTCGATCCGATGGCAGGCCCATCGGTGGGTCTTTCGATACAACATCTCTATACTCCTTCACCACAGGATAGAAGGGATCCGAAGGATCTTTGAGGATTGCCGATCCACTTCTGGCGCTCAGCGCCTTCTTGGTGTCCTCAAGGACAGCGTCGTCCACGACGGATGAGGAGTTCAACTCCTCCTCAGGTCCCAGCAGGACCACCTCGGCTAGCTCGCCTGCCTTTAAGGCTTCGCCAAACTCGGCAATGTACATCTCGTCCAGCTCTAGCAGAGCATCTGCAGCGGGCAGAGTGTCAAGGCTGATGTCGCCTTCTACCTCCCCCGTCACTCCGTTCACGAGTGTGTCCAGCTGTTCACAGCAATCACGTGGAGCATCACCGCTCGTCACGTTGGACACATCGTCCGACGTCGAAGACGTCACAGACGCCCTGCGTCTTCTTCTCCTCTCCCCCCGCGACCGAGCCCGGCCGGATGAGGGCGGTGTGGCGACATCTCCGTCATCACCACCGGGTGCAGCAACACCATCACTCCTCGAAGAGGACACAGTGTCTCGCAAGACACTCGGCTGAAAGCCAAGAGGTCCTTGACCTTCACACAGTGAACTAGGTGTCACTTCACCTGCATCTCCTAGGCCACGCCCATGATGCCTCGACTCGCAGTCGACCGCGACCCTCGGGTCACGCAGCGGTATGTCATCGACCAGATTCGTACCACTCAGTGGATTACGCGCCACTCCGCGCTCGTCCTCACCAGGACCCAGCAGTTGGTCATTGACCTGACCTGCACCGCTCAGCGGGTAACGTGCCGCACCACGTACGCCCTCAGGGCAAACAGCAACCTCGTTGCTAACAATTTCTGACATACCAATGTCCAGCACTACGGCCGCCTCAGCCTCGTGCTCGCGCCAGAAGCGCTTCTGCTTCCTAGCAGAGGTGGGTTCATGACTCACCAAAGCTCCACTAGGAGAAAGGTGCGACGCACCCAGCGTTTTCGACGTAAAGTCGATCCATGGCTCATGACGTTCCAGCCATGTCATGCCAAGGATGAGGTCATATTTCGCATCGAGGTCTAAGACTAAACAGCGTTCCATGCTATCGAAGTTCTCAAACTTCACCCAAGGTCGACAGAGACCTTCGACACCGTTACCAGTGTCCCCGTCGCGAGACGGACAGAGATCGTATCTATCGCTGGTATTTCCAGAGCC